TATTACAACATATTACAAAGTTTTTTTAATATGTTAACATTTTTTAATAAAACAATTTTGAATGAAGTTGTATGAGTTCGAAAATCTCATTTTAGGGACTCGAGAGCGTCTACAAAACCATATATTTTTACATTTTACGTTGAAAAAATTAGACAAAAAAAAACAGTTTGAACTTTTTTGAAATAAATTTGTTTGTTTTTCCTTTTTCCGTTTTTTTATTGCTTTACTGTTTCATTTGTGGATTTCAAAGACGGATTGATTGATTTATTTTTTCTCATATTAAAACAATAAAAATTGATAAATTAATTGTGTGTTACAAATTTCATTACTGTTTAAAAAATTAACACATTTTATGTTAAAATTAATAAATAATTATTGTTTGTTGCAAATTGGAACAAATGTTATCAAATTTTCAAACACTTTAGCATTATATTATTTGGAACGCAATGTTTCTGTTAGAAAGTAAATTTATATTGAATAAATATTTAGAAAATACAATTATTTTTATCGTAGTGTGACACTAATTTATTGTGACAACAATTTTATTACTCGAGATAACTTTCACAGTAGCGTCTATCAAATTTTGAGGTCATTAACTCAAAAAAAATGCACCCACGTCATCTTTTGTCTATTCTAAATCTAAATCCCAAAATAAATAATTCCAACTAGTTTACCCTTATCACACAAAAGTGCAAACTCAGACGATTTATTAATTTTTCAAATTGAATTTTGGCCTCAATTTGAAAATTTCTGTTAAATCGTCGATAACAAGGCCATAAAAATCGCATTTGTATTTCTCCCTGAGATAACAAAGGTTATCATCACTCAGTGCAGAACCTAACCAAGATGCAAGAAACACCACTTGAAGAAATTATCTATAAAGCACCTGACGACTCCCCTACGACTCTAAAACTTACAAAAAAGCCACAATTTAATTTTTATCTCTATCTCGTCGCAGCCATCGGTGAGTAAAAACTCGAAAACCCCCAAAATTGACCCCATTTTCCAGCCAACTTGCTGGGTTTCTCAACCGGAACTGCAATTGTTTGGGTGGCTCCAGTACTACCAAAACTCCTCTCGAGTAAAAACCTTCAAGACAGCCCCCTAGGGCGCATTATAACCCACTCGGAGGGGGCATGGATCGCCGGTTTGCTACCCCTGGGGGCAATTTTCGGCCCTTTTCTCGCCGGAAAAATCGCCGATAAAATTGGACGAAAAAAAAGTCTGATTGGTTTAGCCCTAATTAAGGTTGTCTCGCTCCTAATCACGGCTTATGCCACGTCTATCTCTCTTTACTACGTCTCGAGGTTCATGATTGGTGTTGCAATCGGGACGATTTTCGCAGTGCTACCAATGTACTTGGCCGAAATCGCTGAAAATCACAATAGAGGCACTTTGGCGTGCTCTATGGGCGTTTTCATCGCAATAGGTTTCAATTTTACGTTCCTATTGGGGCCCTATTTGACTGTACAAAACTTCTGTTTGGTTTGTCTCACCCCTTTGGTGGTTTTTGTACCAAGTTTCCTCATTTTGTGCCCCGAAACCCCCGTTTTTTTGGCCGTAAAACACGAAAGAGGAAAACTAGTCAAAAGTTTGCAAAAAATTCGAAACGACAATTTTGAACCCGAATTAACACTTCTTGAAGCTTCCCAACAAAGCCAACAAGTCACAAGTGGGATTAAAACTCTCCTCAAGACGAAATCACTGCGAAAAGGCCTGATTATCTCCCTAGGACTGATAAGTCTGCAGCAATCGGCCGGCGTGAGTGCCATAATGTCGTACTTACAAACCATTTTCGAAGCAACGGGAAGTAAATTCGCCCCGGAAATTTGCGCAATGATCATTGGGAGTTTTCAAGTTGTCGGCACACTTTTAGCGTCCACGATTGTGGATAAAGCCGGGCGGAAAATCCTACTTTTGTGCTCCTCGGCCGGAATGTCAATAACTCTGCTTTTGCTCGCGTTGTATTTTTACCTCCAGGGTTATAAATTTGCAATTGTGGCTAAATTGTCGTGGTTGCCGGTTTTATCACTTGTTGTTTTCGTTTTATCGTTTAGTTTTGGTCTGGGGCCGGTGCCATGGGCAGTAATGGCCGAGATTTTTCCAGCAAATGTTAGATCTCTAGCTGCGTCTTTGACGAGTATTACTTGTTTTATTAACACTTTTGTGGTCACTGTCACTTTTCCCTCGATGGCGTTGTTTTTTGGAATGTCGAATTGTTTTTTGATTTTTGCCGCCATTTGTATGGCAGGGACTTTTTTTATTTATAAAGTTTTGCCCGAAACGAAAGGCAGGAGTTTACAAGAAATACAAAAATTGTTGGAAGGACAAAAATAAAATTTTGTTTATTACAAAACATTTTTTTGTTGAAGTTCGCAAAAAAATAGTACCTAAAATAATCACTTTATTAAATATTTTATTGAGTCATTTTAGAAACTCAATGAGTGCCTAAAATAGGTATTTTTGGAAGCGTATACATTTTGTTTTTATTAACTAAATGATGTCAATTGTGGATTATTTATTTTGCGATGCGATAACCTAATATGACAGTGATCTTGGTATTAGTGACAAAAACAATAGTGCAAGTGAAATTAGAGTGTGAAACGAACAATACCGGAAATATCGAAAGAAAGAATGGAAACAGAGACTGTATAGCACGAAAAAGTGCACGAAATCAGGTTGTAATAGGTATTTGTATTACAAGGGAGGAAAGTGTTTCTTTTTCTCTCACAGGTGGAAGTTGCAGTAATGATCCAGGGAAGAAAAGACACTAATCTCCAGTGTAATACATATAATTTTTCCTACGATCCAACCCGAAAAACTTAAAACTAACAATTTCTCTTGATATCCTAGTTTCACCATTTAATGTTTTTCCGTTGTTTTTTTCTCCTAGTAGTCAATAATTATTTTCATTATGGACCAAGTTTAGAGGTGGGTAAATGCCGATGTTGGAGAGTACTACATTGATACAAATACAGGGTGTTCCGTTTTTATTGTTAAAAATTTAAGCAGATGATAGAATATTCAATTTTAAGATAAAAGTTTCCTATAAACATATGTCGAAAAATATTAAATAAGCGAGCTACATCTCCTAAAAGGGGTACATTTTTTCATAAATTTTTTCCAATATTTCAACAATCATTGTAGATAAAATTTCAAAATTTAGTACAACTGATAACCCTTATACACCCAAACAAATTCAAAGATAAAATGTCGAAATTTTTACTCAGGGGCCTCCTATACTGGGGGGGTTTAGGGTAAAAATACCTTAAATAGTTTGGCTGTTGGTTCTTGCCACTTTCAGTTACACAATTTTAATTTGATAGTTTTTCACAAAAAATAGGTCTCTTGCGTTTTTTCAATACAATTTATCGTTTTTAAGTAAAATCAGTTTACAATATGTGTTACAGACCATAAAAAGAATAAAAACCAAAAATCTAAGTCCTTTTAAGACGCCCGTGATTAAAAATTTTTACAACTGATCTTTGAATTCGTTCAGGTGTTTTAAGGATATCAACTATTCCAACTTTTGTAATTTTATCTATTCTGCAATAGTGGAAAAACCCCATTAAAAAACGCATTTTTTTCAGGGGATGTAGCTCGCTTACATAACATTTTTTGATACATGTTTATAGAAATCTTTTGTTTTAAAATTGAATATTCTATCACCTGTTTAAATTTGTAACAATAAAAACGGAACACCCTGTATTTCTAAAATACTATTATTGAGAACTATTATCATCACAAATACTTACGAAAGTATTTCTAGATAAAATTAATGCAAAATCAAATAAAAAACACTTAAATTTTCTTATTCAAAACATCAGAATAACTCCAACTCTGATGCTTCTGTCTGTGTCAAAACTGTCAAAACAACAAATGGGTTTATTTCTTGTTCAAATACTATCGGTAGTGACACAAAACACTTTTTCCTTTTTCTTTGCAGTTTCTTTGTTTTTTTTTTTCAACAAATATTTCATATCATGACATTAGAAAATTCCTTTAATAATTGCAGAAATAGGTTCACTTGAATGCAAAAAAACGCAAATTGTCAAAAACAAAATCGTAAAATTTTTCAGAGATTTTTACATAGTTTGAAAAAAGTTGTTTCCAAAAAGGTTAGAAATCTATTAAAAGAAATATCTTATTTAATGGTCTTGCAGTGCACTGTCATAGTCAGTGTTAAAAACGAAATGGAAAAAATTGATAGAGGTTTAAAAGATACCTGAAAATTATGAAATTGTGAATTGTAACAAAAAACTGGCATTTATAAACAGACCAAATTACATTATAAAAAAATCAATTTACGTTTCTTTTTGCACTCAAATGTATGAACAAAAATGATATAACCTCATTTACGATAAGAAGAAAATAATGCTTACAATTTAAGTTAATAACTCAGATAAGTAATTAATTACTGCAAGTAATAATGAATTAACAACATTAAATAAGTAAGGTTATATTTTTCACCGTTGTACTAGTGATATAAAACACGGTAGAGAAGATTTTTATAGCCTTGCATTTATTACCTACTTTCCTCCATGCTACGCATCTCGGGGAATAAACATCTCGGCTCTAAAAAAATCTCTTCTCTACCTTGTGAAATAATATACTATTAATTTTGATAAGAAAAAAAGTGTCTTGTCCTACATGTATTCCTGGTTACACAACTTGTATGTAAAATTAGTTGGAAACTTTAATATAGAACAGTCTCCACCTAGTTGTCTTTTTGCTCAATGCTCAGTCCTGACCTTTCCAAATTTCCCTTATCACACACAAAAGTGCAAACTCAGACGGTTTATAACTTTTTCAAATTGAATTTTGTCTCAATTTCTGAAATATTCAAGAAAAAGTCCACAAAAATCGATTGACGCATTCCTCCTCGAAATAACAAAGGTTATTATCACTCAATGCAAAACCTAACCAAAATGCAAGAAACACCACTTGAAGAAATTGTCTATAAAGCATCTGACGACTCTCCTACAACCTTGAAACCCACAAAACAGCCAAAATTCAATTTTTATCTCTACTTTGTCGCAGCCATCGGTGAGTAAAATTTCGAAAATTCCCCAAAAATGACTCCAATTTCCAGCCAACTTGCTGAGTTTTTCAACCGGAAATGCAATTGTTTGGGTGGCTCCAGTACTACCAAAGCTCCTCTCAAGTAAAAACCTTCAAGACAATCCCCTGGGGCGCATTATAACACACTCGGAGGGGGTCTGGGTCGCCGGTTTGCTACCCCTGGGGGCTATTTTCGGCCCTGTTTTCGCCGGAAAAATCGCCGATAAAATTGGACGCAAAAATAGTCTGATTGGTTTAGCCCTAATTAAAGTTGTCTCACTCCTAATCACGGCTTTTGCCACGTCTATCTCTCTTTACTACGTCTCGAGGTTCATGATTGGTGTTGCAATCGGGACAATTTTCGCAGTGCTACCAATGTACTTGGTCGAAATTGCTGAAAATCACAATAGAGGCGCTTTGGCGTGCTCCATGGCCGTTTTCATAGCAATAGGTTTCAATTTTTCGTACTTATTAGGGCCCTATCTCAGTGTGCAAAACTTCTGTTTGYTTTGTCTCACCCCTTTGTTGGTTTTTGTACCAAGTTTCCTCATTTTGTGCCCCGAAACCCCCGTTTTTTTGGCCGTAAAACACGAAAGAGGAAAACTAGTCAAAAGTTTGCAAAAAATTCGAAACGACAATTTTGAACCCGAATTAACACTTCTTGAAGCGTCCCAACAAATCCAACAAGTCACAAGTGGGATTAAAACTCTGCTCAAGATGAAATCATTGCGAAAAGGCCTGATTATCTCCCTAGGACTGATAAGTCTGCAGCAATCGGCCGGCGTGAGTGCAATATTGTCGTACTTACAAACCATTTTCGAAGCAACGGGAAGTAAATTGGCACCGGAAATTTGCTCAATAATCATTGGGAGTTTTCAAGTTTTCGGCACACTTTTAGCGTCCACGATTGTGGATAAAGTCGGACGGAAAATCCTACTTTTGTGCTCCTCGGCCGGAATGTCAATAACTCTGCTTTTGCTCGCGTTGTATTTTTACCTCCAGGGATATAAATTTGTAATTGTGGCTAAACTGTCGTGGTTGCCGGTTTTATCACTTGTTGTTTTTATTTTATCGTTTAGTTTTGGTCTGGGGCCGGTGCCGTGGGCCGTAATGGCCGAGATTTTTCCAGCGAATGTTAGGTCTCTAGCTGCCTCTTTGACGAGTATTACTTGTTTTCTTAACACTTTTGTGATCACTGTCGCTTTTCCCTCGATGGCGTTGTTCTTTGGAATGGCGAATTGTTTTTTGATTTTTGCCGTTATTTGTGTAGCCGGGACTTTTTTTATTTATAAAGTTGTGCCCGAAACGAAAGGTAGGAGTTTGCAAGAAATACAAAAATTGTTGGAAGGATAAAATAAAACTTTTTTTTGGATTTGGATTGTTTTAATCACCTTTTTGAAAATTTAAATAAATTAAAACTAGAAAGAACAGAAAGCAAGAGTAGAATATAATAAAATTATTGAAAATACAGGAACATTTTAAAAGTGGACTAAAACCTTTATTTAATGACTAGGAAAAATAAATAACGATTTTTACTTTTTTATCATTTACCTACGAGTATTATTCTAAATTGAAAAAATTATTGAAAACGAAAAATCCAATTTTTCTTAGAAATAACTTTTTTAAATTTATTATGTTAAAATTCTTATTAATGCTTTAATTGTCAAATATGGATAATTTATTGTGCAATTATCTGATACTGAAACAACTTAAAATTAAGTCAAATATAAATTAAAAAAATTGTAACATTATTGGCAACACTTGACTTTATCGACAAGAAAATTAATAGTTAATTATTATACACTAAGTCGCAAAATCTGTTTCATGATTTTGATCTTTTGATCTTAATACAGGGTGTTAAAAAAAGATTGTAAAATATTTAACTAGGTAATAGTATGGACCAAAATAAACAAAGTCTTAATAAACAATTTTTATTAGAAGCTTCTCTTTTTTGTTTGAACACTGCAAGTAAATATTTTAAAAAACGAATAATTTTCGATATCTCCGAAACAGTTACTTTGCGAACCAATATTTATTAATTTTTTTTATTTTGGTCTATACTATTTCCTCCTGAAATATTTTACAATATTTTTTTAACACCCTGTACAATAATAATTTGTTTTGACTCGTTTTACTTAAAATAAAATTTGGCAGAAGACGTACGACTGTCACAAAAAATACTTTTAACAAAAAGAAGCTTATAAGATTAAAAGTATTAAAACCGACTTCCACCGTTTTTTGCGAAGTTTCAAAATTGTATATTTGTTTTTTGTTGATATTAAAACTTATGTTTTTTATTTACTAAATTATTTTTATCCGAAAACTTTGTTATGTAATGTTTAAAATATTTTGGTGTTGGCATTTTGACGATTAAAAGAGCTATCGTAATGGCTATAAAAAATTAAAAATTTCCATTCAAAAAAATTGTCGATGACGTCAATACTTACTCAAAAACCAAAAAGTGTAAAATTTTAAATCAAGTTGAAAAATGTGTAATTTTTTTTAAATCGACGTTCGAGAATTTTTGCCAAAACAAAATATTTTTCGTTTTAATAAGACTATTCCATAATTTAGCAGCTTACTGTATAAGACGATAAAATTGATTTTTATCTTTAAGAGTGCATTTACGTCGACTTTACTTTACTTATCAATTTTGAATAAATCTATTTTATTTAATCCTTTATGTTAAAATTGAATTTTATCTACTCTTTTCTTCATGTTAAAATGAAATTTTATCGTCTAGATGATAAAAAATACATCCATTGTTATCCAATTTTATCGTCTTGTATAATAAATAACTATTTAACCACAATGAGTTTTTTTTGAGTTGTCCATTTTTTTATATTTTATTGTTTCTGTACAATTTTTTTTGTAATTTTTGAATCATTCTGTCTGCTTAGTTATATATTATATTTGGAAAATGTTTTTGATTATTTATATTTTTTACAAAAATTCATTGCTGTGATATTAGTCTTCAAAATCGCCGGTAAAAGAGTTTTGCATAAATAAGAAAATAAAACATTCCACTTTGATTTGTATTGTTTTAATCACCTTGAAATACCATTTATTTAATTTTATTTAAACGCGTCAAAAGATAAAACGATACAATAGCCAGTCGTCCAGCATGACCAAAAAAATCAACTGGGGTTTATACTTCTCTGTTGTATCAAGTAAGTAATAATTAATTAATAACTAAAATAATTAATTAATTCAAGTTAATTTGACGTCGTTTATAACCGGCGCTGCCTACTCTTGGACCTCCCCTGTGATCCCAAAACTGAACAACCCTGAAAAAATTGCCGACAATCCCTTCGGCCGTTTGATAACCCCATTTGAAGAGTCATGGCTTGCGAGTTTGATCAGTGTGGGGGCTGCAATCGGCCCTATTTTGAGCGCAATTGTTGTTGACAAAATCGGACGAAAAAAAACACTCCTGGTACTCACAATCCCGATGATAATCCCAAATCTGGTACTAGCTTTCGCCAAAAATATCAACCTCTACTACTTTAGTAGATTTTTCCTGGGTCTTGGGATAGGTTCCGTCTATTCCATTGTCCCCATCTACGTTGGAGAGATCGCTGAAGACACAAATAGGGGCACTTTGGGGTGCTGCATCAGCGTTATGTACGTTTTTGGGACCGTTTTTTGTTTCATTATTGGCCCTTTRTTGACCATCAAAAGTCTGTGTTTGGTTTTGGTGGTACCAGCGGTGCTTTTTGTCCTAATTGCCAGTTTTTATGTCCCTGAAAGTCCCTATTATCTCCTCATGGTGGGACGCAAGGAAGAAGCCGAAGTTGCGTTGAGGAAATTACGAAAAAGTTTCGACGAAAAAGAGTTGGAGGAAATGACAAAAAATGTCGAATTATCAAAAAGTGTGAAAATCAAATTTGGGGAAATCGTCAAAAGTCGGATTATAAGAAAAGGCGTGATGATTGGATCCGGGTTGATTTTCTTCCAGCAATGCTCCGGGATCACCGTCATCGTGGCTTACATGCAGTCGATTTTTGAAGCTTCCGGAAGTAGTCTCAAACCGGAAATTTGCGCAATTATCATCGGGATGATTCAATTAAGCACGAATTTGGTCACATCCCAACTTATCGACCGTTTGGGTCGAAGAATCCTACTTTTGGGGTCTTTGATCGGAATGTTCCTTTCTCATGTCCTTCTAGGACTGTATTTTTGGCTCAAAATCAACCATTTTCACAATATTGTTTCCCATTTATTCTGGGTGCCCGTTTGCAGTCTTATTTTTTATTTCATTATGTTTACCACTGGTGTTGGACCTGTGAGTTGGTCAATGCTTGGTGAGATTTTTCCGACTCATGTCAGATCGCACGCTTCCACTTTTGTCTGTTGCTTTTGCTCAGTTTTYGGCTTTTTCCTCACGCTGTTTTTCCCAAATTTGGCCCAGATTATGGGATTGGGGTTCACGTTTTGGGGTTTTGCTGGGTGTTGTCTAGTGGGGGTGGGTTTTGTCTGGAGGGTTGTGCCGGAAACAAGGGGGAAAAGTCTGCTTGAGATACAACAAATTTTGGAATATGGCTCAATAAAAAATTGAGTCGTTTTTATTTTATTCAACGAGTTTTTTATCTCGTTTAAAATCATATTTTGATGGCTTTGAGATATAGAAATTGCTCTATTTCATTTATTTTTCTAATTATGTTAAAAAATTTGTACTTTTCTCAACCTTTTCACTTGAAAAAGTTATTCAATTGTGGAGAAAATTGAAACGTATGAAAAATAGTTATTTTTTATATAAGACGATAAAGAAATTGTTTATCTACAAAAGTTTACGAGTGACGAAGTCACGAGTGGACTTTTTTCACGAGTAGATAAACAATCTTTATCGTTGTGTATAATATTTCGTTTTATTTTGTTCCCATCTACCAGAATTTCGTGTACAAAATAAAGAATATAATCAGAGTAGATTTACTTTATTTTACTAGGCGATAAAAAACTACTTTATCTATTGAAATTAGTTGATAAAAACTAAACAGTAGATAAAAATTACTTTATTTTACTAGACGCTAAAAGACTACTTTACCCACTGATATTAGTTGATAAAAGCACTCTTTAACATTGAGTACAAAATAAAGTATACATTTAATTTTCTCCACAACCGTGGATATTAATAATACGAAGAAGAAAATATAAAAATATTAGTCATTATTTAAGATTAGAAAAAGTATAGTATTAAACTAAACTAAACCAAATTAAACATTTGAATTTTGTATACAATAATTATTTTGTATTGCAATTGTAACTTCACAAAATTCACAATTTTTACTTTTCTTTTTTTGTAAATTGCAGCAAAACTCTACCTCAAACATAATGTTTTATGTACACATGTAAAATGTTCCGAGAAATCGATTGGCGTTGAGAAAACTGCAAAAATCTAGAAGCTAAAGTTGAATTAATATTTTGGATATTTTTGACTTTATCAGCAATTTTCTCAATAACTATTTAACACAGGACAACTATCTTTTTTTATATGATGAAAATTAGATTTGCTTTCCAACGGTACCAAACAAAAATGACTAGCGCCAATAATTTCGAAGTTATTAGCAATAATAAACCGTTCCGGGTACAGAAAATCGCGCAAAATTTTCTAGAAAAATCGAAAAAATTAAGACTTAATTCAACAGTTTGCATTCTTAAAAATTCAAAAAAACGTTTTTCGTAACACGTACATACTTAAAAAGTTTTTTTTGTAGACTTATCAACAGACTCGGCTGTCGCCTTGTCCAGAAACAGCAACGATTCATCTGAAAAAAACTATTTTAGATACTTGTAACAAGAATAACTATTATTTATTTTTTTTAACGAAAGAAATAGTGTTTCTACTTTCTAATGAGGTTCAAAAACTGTGTAAGTTACATTTTTTTAAATTTAAATTTGATTTTTTACATATTATCTAATAAGGATTTTAGCACAATAAATTGTACAAAAAGTAAAATTGTTATTAAGTCATCAAATAAAGATTTTAGTCCATTTCTGAAAAAACAGTTTTTCAAATGTTTGTTTGTCTTAAATATTCCTATTAAACAGGGTGTGTCAAAGTCGCGCCTCAGAAAAAATTTCAAGTAAGATAATTTACCAGCAACGTGGAAAAAATGTTTAAAAAATTCAATCTCTCAAAAAATTTTGACATTTATTTTTTGACATGTGACATTTTTTTATGTCTATTTAATGACACCGATGATTTTATATATGTTTTTTATAATTATTTAGTAAAGGTACAAAAATTTTGCCAATAAAAGCCAAAAATAACATAAAACAGAGTTACAATTTAGGATACAGCTTCATTGTTTCTTCTTCTAATAACCTGTAGCAAAGAAAACTTGAAAGGTTATTTTTTCTACAAAAATAAAACTTAAAAAGGTACAAAAATATTGCAAGAGCTTTTTTCTATTTTAGTGTCACAATGGGCATTTTTTGCGACTGTTTTCAGTTACACAAAATGCTCTTTGTGATACTGTGTGACTTTCTCACTAAATAAACTAAATAAATAATATACTATTTTAAGTCTTTCCTTGACAAATTCTTGGCAGGTGTCAAAATGACACATTTTTTTCGAAATGCATTTGGTGCAAATTCTGAATGAAGAACCCCGAGATAGTTTGGTGATTGTGACAAATTGTCGTATTCGAGCTTTGGCTTGTTACATTTTCATAAAATTGTCGAAAAACTCCAAAATGGCCCCTCAACAGATCAAAAACATCATCGAAGAGTTCCACAATGATCCGAAAAACTCCGATTTTGGCATAACCTTGACCGAACTGGTGTCGAAATTGAAGGAAGTGGACACCAATAATGAGGAGTGGAAAAGCGCACTTGAACGGGTCCAAAACTTGTATTAATTATAATTTTGTGAAAATAAATGAATTGTGAGCGTGTCTAATTAGCTTGCGACTTAATAACAATATGGTACCAAGAAGCATCGACCCATCGACCATCTGCCGGCCAAAAATTACCATAGTAAAAGTTGAAAGTCGCCCAATTTCCGTACCATTTTCCTCTTTCATTGTAAAACAGTTATGGGTCAAAAATCCCCACATGTACTTCCAATCTCAATTAATTAACAAAATTAAGCGGTTTCCATGTCTGTCTTAATCAGAGTGTGAATTGTTAAGATCCAAACGGTTACATTCCACCATTACTTCTTTTATGGTCAGTGATGACATGCGATCACGATTACAGTTAGCCGTGAAAAGGTTGGCTAAACTTCAAATTTTGTCAAAATTCCACGATGGCAAATTTTTGTTTCGGGGAGAGTCGACGATTAGGCAAAGCTTTACCTCAACACAAGTTGATGCAAAATTTGCTTTTGAGCGATTTTGGACCACCGAAAACGCAAAAATTTACCAAAGGGACGCAAACGGAGTCGAGAAGGGCCACTAGCGAAATTAGCTGTTGCTGTCAGAAGAAAACTCGGAAAAACGAGGGCAAAAACACCAGTAAAGTGATCGAAAAGAGGAGAATGGACGAAGGGTATCAAAGGCTCTTGGCCAGCATAAGGGACAGAGTGGCCAAGGCTCAAGAAGACTACTGCTCATGTTCGGGTAAAATTAATCATAATGGCCTTTGACTCTAAAATTAAGTTGGCAACATTGATTGCTTAAAAATATGCACACTGAGGCAATAATAATTATCGCTTATCAGATAATTAACTGCCATTTTTAGTGACTAGTATTTATGTTGGCGACAATTATTTTTTAGATACTTGGAGTGACACCAGCACCGGTTATGTTCCCGAGGTGAGGCTCCCCAAGGAGACCCGGAATGCCATGTCCCTCCTTCTCCTAACCCCCAAAAAATCAGTTTCAAAATTCACAAAATCATGTAAACCTCCCCCAGTATTGCCAACCCCTTTTTGATTATTTTTCCCTCAGGTGCATGGCCCGGCTTCGCCGAAAGAACCAACTCGAATTCATCCACCAAGATTTCCACAAAGATAAAAAACCAACTTTCTAAATAAATTAACTATAAATTATTTTTTTTTTTTTTTCATTTAATGGATGAACAAGAGGCCCGCATACATGAATTTAATGTAACCCACAAAAATGGTCTAATAACTTTCTTATCAATGAATTGAATCCGGTCCTGGCGACTTCTTTCATGAATCACAGCCCCCTACCGAGCTACCGGTTGTCTAGTGTAAATCGGGCTTTCCCCCCCACCCCAATATATAAACGCGTATTGGTCGGCCGGTTTCAGTCCCATCGCGATTCTTCATTGGTGTTGGTGAGGTGACAAGTGACGATCGAAGAACTACTTGATCCGAATATAAAAGTCGATTTTTTTCATTTGTGAGTGATTGTGTGAGTGCAGGGCTAACTGGGATTTAAGGTATGAGCAATGCCACCCCTGATTGTACATACACACCCTTTTTTTTCAATTATAGAAAAAATTTACATAAAAACAATACAAAATATATCTTTTGTATGTATCTCTCGATAGTCTGAGACGTGTCTTGAATTTATAATCGGGATTGGGTGATTTTTATTCAAGGAAACGCCCTCTGGGCCGGGGGGTACAGTCGAGGGCAAAAGTAATGCAATTTTTTTGTGACAATTCCATGCGAAAGCTTTTTTCCTCAAATAATAATGGGAACGGTTTTAGAGGTCGCAACAGTTAATTAAATAATTTATGGTTTGCGAATTTTTTGTGGACAACCACAAGACATTTCCCATCACGTGACCTTTGACAGTTATTGCACTCTCACATCTCTTTTCTTTGTTGATTGATCGGGAGATAGTGACCTTGAAGCGCGATGTCGTTCACCCAAGCACAATGCCAAGCCTGCTATTTTTTTTTGCAATAAATGCATTGGTACCAACTTGGAGGATAAGTAGGGTTGCCACCTTAAAAATCCGGATGTTTTTCCGCACGTGATCTGCCATAAGCTGCACGAAAAGACCCACCGACCATATGGTGCCAGATTAGCACATTTATGGCTTTATTTATCAAAACAATGATAATTATGGCTTTCTCGCTACGGTCATGCCGCTTATCGAAAAAGACRAATGGGTCGGTTTAAAGACGTCTATTTTTACCACGACCTTGATCTTGACTGCACCCTTTTTATCCCATGGGAATGTGGAAAAAAATCACGACGCGATTCGTGCGACCATAACAATTTGTTTTTCTTATGTTGGTCATGGTCGGGTGATTCACACTTCCTGTCTGTTTCTTTTGTAATTAATTTCATTTGTTTACTAGAGATGAGCCCGTATTGATTGCCATAGCAACAGACGATTATTGACCTATTCCAAAAACCAGCTTCACACTGGGGCAAATTTGCTCTTTTTCAAATGACAAAGAAAGTGATAAGAATAAAGTGCGTTAGGCTTTCTGATTCTTCTCGGATTTTTATTGCTATTTATAATTGGGTATTTAGAGAACCGTGGAATATGTGTTCCGTTTAGAACAATCCTAATTAGTCATTATTTTTATTTTCCTTATCCTATAGGGAAGCTATTTTACAATGTAAATATCACGAAAGAATCCTAATCTTATTATAGATCGTACACATTTATTTTTAGATAAAGTTTGGAGACCACAAGTAAATAAAAGTCATAATACTCATAATTAACGCGTTATCGATGAGTAAACAATCACATATTTAACATTGACTATAATTTATCATGTATTGGCAACACTGATTTTTACTAAAAACTCACAATTGTGACTCAAACTGACTTCAAACGAGATTATTGGTTGTCTGTGTAATTACGCCCAAAATTTCCTTAATTATGTTAATAAAGCGAGTTATATTGTCTAAAAAAGGAAAAAATGAGACATAAATTGAGATTTATTGTTATTTGTGGACAATGGATTAAAATTAGGCTGTGAAAATTACGCATGAAATATTTAAGTTAGAATTTTTGGCAGGGTGACATTCGCTTAATTTTTTTAGCTGTGTATGTCAGACTTTTATGTTGGACCTGTCAAATTTAAATAAAACTTAATTGCACAGCGAATTATTTCATATTTATAAAAAAGTTTTGGACCTTAATGTTTTATTACAATTATACAATAGAAAAGTTTTTTTTTATTAAAAAAATTTTGTAGGCCACGGACACGGAATTTTGGACATCAAATTTATGTCAGTTCAAAAAATGTCATTGTAAGCCACGCTTTATTGTCATTATATGATTGACGTTTGAAACTAAAATTTGAAAGTTATAGTTGAAATTTATTTTTTGCGTCGATTTTCGGAAACAATAATGCCAACAATACGTGTTCTTATATAAATTCAATAAATTATTTTGTTTTTTTGTCATTTTTTCGTTAGCTATCAGGATAAAAATTACAAAAACCGAAAGTGAGGTTGGTTGTCTAAGGCCCGTTTTACATTTTTATGTCAGTCGAATGACAAATCGTCCAAAATTCCGGGTGCGCAAGTGTATTATAGCATAATGGCAACACCGCAACTGCGTTTTTTGAGGTGAAATAGGCCACAAAAATTTGGTTTTGTGTAAAAGAAGAATGTGTGATACTTAGGACTCTAGTGGCAAAGTTAAAGACAAGAACCCCATTACTTAGTACAGTTGCGGAATTAAAATTTCGGGCAGTATTGTCATTTTCAAAATGTAAACTCTAAACCAACCTTTACATTAATAACCTCATTTTTTACTCTTGTCATGTTTATGTCATTTTGACTTAAAAATAGCGTCACTGACAGAAATGTTTAATTGTCACATGTCAGTCATGAATGTCATGATGACACTAAAAGGTGGTTTACAATGAACTTTTTGATGTGACAGAAAAATACTGCCCGAAATTTTAATTACGTAACTGTACAAAAAAATACAAAGAATGACATAATTTTTATAAAAACGCAATTTGCGTTAATAAATGTTATTTACATGAAATTTGTGTTGGTGGCAGACATTTTATGTTTTTCAAAATTCGATTTATACTTTGAAATTGAAAATTGGCAACAGCGCATTGTCTAAAAAGTGAGGATATAATCGTGTGCAAAATAAGGAAGTTATTCAAATTTGCGCAAATTATTATTCGTTTTGTCACTGTCAAATTGACACTCTTTGATCCCATGTTTTCGATTTATAGTTTGTTAAAAATGAACGGAATCAACGGCCACCACGCCAACGGCGGCGACTTGAACGGCTGCGGCGACATAATCACCCAAAACCAGCAAAAGGGCTGTTGGACAATCGGCCTCATCAACTCCAAACACCGCTACTTAACCGCCGAAACCTTCGGTTTCAAAATCAACGCGAATGGGGCTTCCCTCAAGAAGAAACAAATCTGGACTTTGGAGCCCGAAAATTCCAATTCCAGCGACAGTACGTCCCTTGCCCCCTTTTTAAKTTGTCGTAATGTCCACCCTTCCAGGTCTGATCTACTTGCGCTCCCATTTGGGCAAATACCTCGCCGTCGACTCCTTCGGGAACATCACCTGCGAGAGCGAGGAGAAGGAACCGGGGAGTAAGTTCCAAATCAGCGTTGCGGAAGATGGGAGCGGCCGCTGGGCCTTCAGGAACGTGGTCAGGGGGTACTTCCTGGGGGCTACCTCAGATAAGCTCACTTGCACAGCCAAAGTACCCGGAGATGCCGAATTCTGGCACATACACCTCGCCGCAAGGCCCCAAATGAACTTACGCTCGGTGGGGCGCAAGCGATTCGCACATTTATCCGAAAATCTGGACGAAATCCACGTCGATGCCAACATCCCCTGGGGGGAAGACACCCTTTTCACCCTTGAATTCCGACAAGACGAGGGCGGAAAGTACGCCATCCACACTTGCAATAACAAGTACTTGTCACTCGGAGGTACAAACGAGCGTAGCGAGTGATTCAACTATATAACTTTTCGTTGTGCTTAGGAAAACTTGTGGATACTTGTAACAAGGACTGCCTCTTCACTGCCGAATACCACAGCGGGCAATTGGCCCTCCGCGACCGCTCCGGGGCTTATTTGAGCCCCATTGGGTCAAAGGCCGTACTCAAAACCCGGTCTAATACTGTCACGAAAGACGAACTTTTCTCCTTGGAGGATTCCCTCCCCCAGGCCAGTTTCGTCGCAGCGTTGAATTCCAAGTTTGTTTCTGTTAAACAAGGTGAGTGGTCTTTGATTTTGATTGCGGAAACGCCGCACGCTTTGCAGATGTTGGGGCCTCGGGCCACTTTTACCTTGACCTCGAACGGGAATGCAAGAATCGGTGCACTTGATTCGGAAGTAACGGTCAAATAACAAATTATTCAATTTAGTTTTCAATCAAAATGACTTTGAAATAAGTTGGCAACATTGAATCACAGACCTCTTTGACCAGAAATTTAATTACAAAACAAAATAATAAGTCAATTTATGACACTCATTTTGTTACCAACATTGGAAATAAATTTTATGGATTATGGTTGCTTAATTAAATTACCGTTTTGTATGTCAACATTTTATTGCTAATTTTATTCACACAGAAAGTAAATACTTTTTACCAAAACATTGAATTATTGTAAGTTTTCAATAATGACAAATTTTTAATGTGTGTTAAAAAAGAAGTGTCAGTTGTTCACTTATGTCTGAGATAAATTATGTCAAAGTGACATTTTAAAAAGCTAGGTTGTCGTCAAAATGTCACTTTGTCAAACATTGCGAAATAAACACGTTTTTTGTATATTTAAAAAATGACACGTCAAAGACGTGTTATCAACCCTGAAACCACAAATCTCAGTCTAGTATTTTTTTTCAAAAATCGAATTTTCACTTTATTGTTATGTTAATTTTTTGTTTATGACTCAGAAAACTGCAACTAGACCGGTTCAAATTGATAAAACTAGCAGTGTTGCCAGGTTTGGTGAAATTTCACCAGATCTGGTGATTTTCATGTTAGTTTGACGATTTGGTGAAAACTTTTGTAAAAATTCTAATAGGTATCTGGTGATTTTTGAAAATGAAAAAAAAACTTTTTTTCAGTATTTTCCACGTTTTGAACAGAAACTTGTTTATTTCGTCAATTTTTCTCAAATTTCAGCTAGAAACACAATAACTTCGCAAAATTTCGTTAAAAACAATCCAAAAATTCAACAAATTCGACCAAAAACGGCGTTATTTTTGCTTTTTTCAAGTGTTCAAGCATAAAAACAAATAAATAATAAAAAAATTATTGAAGCAGGTAAAAAAAATACAATATTAAATCGAAATTGATATTATTTTTAGCTTATTCCGCTCAACTTACTTCGTTTTTGAACCAGAAGCTCATTTATTTTGCAAAATCTTGTCGCTTAAAAGTCACAAAAACAATTGATGTTGATGTTAATTTATTTCACTCGATTTACCTGGTTTTTGATCAAAAGAAGACAAAAATAAGTTAAGATTTCGCTAAAACAAACTAAGAAATAAAGAAATTAAGTCTGGAATTACATTATATTTTTGCATTTCTCCAGCATTTTAGCATGTTTTTCAGCTAGAAACTCAAAATTTTGTTAAAAACAAGCCAAGAAATCACAGAATTAACCCGAAGTGCATGTCATTTTTGTTTTTTTCATGAGTTTAAGTAGATTTTTAAACTTAAAACTGCGTTTTTTGTAATATGCCCATACAAATCTGATGAAAATTTGGCGAATATTTCAACTCGGATCTGATGAATTTTATGTTTTTGATCTGGCAACACTGAATTAACTGGCATTTCTTATCTTCAATGAGGAAGATACAAATCAAAAAGTTCAGTTACGTTATGAAAATCCGTATTAAAATGTGAGAAAAGCGTTTCTTGCACCAAAACGGAAACAATTAAATCAATCACCGAAGCAAAAAATCTCGTTGTGTATAAACAGTCAATTTTATTAATTAAAAAAAATCTCATTCACAAAACCGGGTTTGGGAAACTTCCGGTCGAGGAAAAGCCTCTCTTTGAAAATTTTTAAATGCGGCAACGTTGCTGAAGGGGGCGCCGCGTCTAAACAATCGATACGACACCCCGATTCAAGGCCGTCTGGGAACGTGGGTGTGGGCCACCACATGGCCCCGAAATCCGGGATGGAGCGAATTACCGTTTTGATAACGTTGCTCTGCATCGCTTTAAGGCTTGAACTTGGTGCGAAAAAATCGCACAAGCGGGACTTTGCTGATAATAAAACTTGTAAAACTAAAGGTTTTTCCTCGAAACAGGAATGCGATGTCATATAATGCAACTGTTGGAAGTTGGAACAACTTCCTACATTGCGATAGCGAAGAAGACATGAATGTTTGCACGCTAGTTGGACATTTTATCAATAGAAATGTCAACAGATGGATGGTGGACGACATGCGATTTCCACAAACTCGGAATGGGGCTGGTTAATAAGCATTATACCGTTTTAGGATAATGAGATTTAGATAATTGATGAATAAAACTCAAATGGGAGCTTTATGCTCACTAAACTACCAACATCATTACTGAGATGTTCAATTGATTTTTGATGAAAGTAATTTGAAATTACGTTGGCAACACTGCTCAATTTTTCCTAATTTTGCAGATTGTTTAATTTATGAATACTGTTACTTAACACTTCACTTTTTTATCACGTGACAGTTTTATTTTTTCAACTATCGGTTCATTGGCTGCCAAATTGGGTACTTAACGATATTGGTAGATATCAACATAAATAAATAAAGTTTATAAAGTGTACTTATCACCCATATAAATACAAGCACTTTATTAGAAAAAAAAATATTATCACAAGCAGTAATTAATGTTATCTGAAAAAAAAAAGACGGATGGTATTTTATAGTTAATTAAGACTTTCTGTACTGCTGTATCTATAAATTATAAATTGCATTTTTTTTTAAATAACACATATCTACTAGTCTGTTTTTATTTGATTTGATAAGTTTTAAATTTAATTTGTCAAAAAAATCGATTTATTTTTTTAATTATTAATTCAATAAAATTTCTATCTAAAGTGGCCTATGACCTTGCAAAAGTTATGTTATTCAATGTTGCCAACTTAATTTCAAATGCACAGGTTACTCTGATCAAAAATTTAACTTGGAAATTTATCACCCTGTATATCTGTACGAAGCTTTATAGCACTATTGTTTAATTGACAAATTAGTGTTATTTTCGATGTAGAATATGTGGTTGCAATTTTTTGTAATAGTTAGAAAACACCCTGTAGTAGTGTTTACCTAATAAAAATGAGATTCAAGCTTCAAGTATTTTTATTGTTTTCGAAACGTATAAGTAAATCATAAAAAATCAAAATCAATCTCACTTTTTTAATACATAATTCGAGTATAAAATTGATCATCAACAAACATAGAAGATATACAGGCTGAATAGAAAGTATAGAACCAAACGTTTTTTTGCTTAAATTATTAATTTTTCGAAAAAACTAATTGATGAATGATAGTATAAGTGAGGTGAAAATGTGACGTTTTATCAAGAATAAAAATTTTGAAATTTTGTTTTGTTTTTGAGTTCTGCAAAAAAAAATTGAAATGGCAACCCACTACAAAACTTTTTTTTACAAAGGCTATGATTTAAGAATTACCACTATCTACATTTTATTTAATTTTTATCGAAAAAAAATTGCATTTAAGTTGCCACTTTGAAAAAAAATTGCATAACTTAAAAACAAAACAAAATTTCAGTCGCAAAACACGATCACTTTATATACCACATTAATTTTTATTAATTATTATTTTAGCATTATATAATGTTGCCAACTAAAATACATATTATTAAAAATGCTCATAAACGTATCAAATATCGATCACAGATCCGATTTTCTATGTTTTTTTATTATTTCAAACACATATTCGTATGTATTGTAATCGTCAACTTTTGTTCACAATTTAGTGTAAATCAAAAAATATAAAATGAATACATATGTTTCATTTCTTTAAACACATACAGGGGGTGTTTTATAAAAACACAAAAAAGTAAAATGCCAATTAAGATAAGATACCAGGAACTCAATAATTATGAAAAAAACATACCTGTACAAGATCATCGGTAACAATAGACATAAAAAAATGTCAAATGTCAAAAAATTTTGACATAAAATTTTTTAAACATTTTTTTAATGTTCCTGGTATCTTAGCTTACTTGGCAATTTTTTTTTGTTTTTATAAAACACCCTGTATTTAGCTTGGTTAATTTTCATGTCTCAACATTATTCAATGCTGCCAAATAAAATAAATAGGTTTATATGATTAAAAATGATCATAAATGTAACAAAATTTACCACAGACGCGATTTTCTATCTTTTTTTATTCAGGGTGTTTACGGTCTTGAAGTTGAAATTTAAATGAGATGATATTCACGGCAGAAGAAAACTAATACGCTATCTAAATCAAAAATTCACGTTGTAAAAGCAAATAATTTATTTATATTATTTGTTTGAAAACTGCTGCTTCGACTGCTACTATGGCCATTAGTATCATTACCTTGTGTTTCACCGTAAATTATATTCACGACAATCAATTTAATGTTTTAATATTTTTTGCAATCCATGTTCATAAATTTGGAAAAAATTTAAGAAACCTATTGGAAACCATTTCACTGGAAAAAATTAAACAAAAGATCTTAAAATTTTGATAAAATCTAAAGCAAAAGCAAATCAAATGATGACAGTGTCAAAACTATGAAGTGATTTTTCTCTTTTATTGTCATGGATACGATTTTTATTTGTTGCAACAATACAATTTTATCTGACCAAGGAAATAATTCCAATGACCCTCAAACCGTGTACCAATATTTTAGTTAAATAACATTCTTAATAATAACAATTGCGTGATTTTTCTTTTCCCGATTACAGTATTTCTGTACTGTTCTATTACTATGTCAATTTTTAACTCCAAGACGGTAAACACCCTGTATTATTTCTAATAAATACATTGTAAACCAGGTTTCATCCACTTTTGTTCACAATTTGGTGTAAATATAAAACTAAAATAATAGTAAAATATACAACTAAAAAATGTTTAGAAACCGGATTCAGATCATTTTTTTTTGAATACGATATTTTCTTTGCTTGTAAATCTCTTATTTTCCCATAAATCATTCTTCCAATTACGCTTAATCGCCGCATAAAGCCCGCAATCACGCATCTCTTAATTAACCACAACATTCCTTAATTGCATCTCTGATCCATCTCCTCCAACAAATGCACGCTTCACCGCTCTCGCGGTGCTTTGACCGGCTCTCCTAACCGTCTCTATGTATTTATACAAATCTAGGTGTCGACGTCACCGCCAATCAGGACGAAATCTCCGATCACGAGACCTTCCAATTGGAATTCGATTGGACCACAAAACGATGGTACATCCGCACCATGCAAGACAAATATTGGACTTTGGAAACGGGCGGTGGTATTCAAGCCGCCGGCGATAAACGTTCCTCGAATGCTTTATTCGATTTGGTGTGGCAGAATGACGGTTCGGTGGCATTTCGTGCGAATAATGGAAGATATGTGATGACGAAAAGGTCGGGTCATTTGTATGCAACGTCAGATACGATCGATGACAATTGCAAGTATTTTTTCTATTTGGTCAATCGACCGATTTTGGTACTCAAGTGCGAGCAAGGGTTCGTGGGGTACAAGTCGGCGAGTAGTCCCAAATTGGAATGCAATAAAGCCACCTATGAGACCATACAAGTGGAGAGGGGCGAAAAAGGAATGGTTCACTTCAAAGGTAAGACATTTTTTAATTACACAATTTTGTTTGTAAAAACAAACACCCTGTATGTGAATTGACCGTCAAAGAGTTTGTTTTGACATTGTTAAATAATAATTTCGTAAGATTTCTACAATTTTACACTTTAACACGTATCTCGACTTTTGGTTCTAACTCCTTTAGGGAGCATTTTTGGACATAGGTCCATAGGGAATTTTTTCTTATTTTGACATAAGGAATCATCCCATGAAATATTTCAAAGTTTTTTTTCGGACAGCCTGTATTTACGTTTGTTGTACAATCTGCAGATTTCGGTATTTTTTGAGCCATTCTGTTTTTATTAAACAAATATTATTTATTATTATTGTTATACATTTCAAATTTAAGTTGATGTTTTAAACTGTCGTACATTTATTTTTCAAATAAAAAAAAAACAGGGAACAAAATAGGTTTGGGAACATATTACATACACGGTGAATAAAAAGTATGGATCCAAGCTGTTTTTTTTAATCGTTTGCCTTCAGAAAATAATAATTAATATAAATTAAAGTGCTATAAAAAATGTATTTGTGTTTTGAGAATGAAATTTTTTGTTTTTGAGTTATGCGATTTTTTTGTCAAAATGGCAACTTATTTCGGGTGTGTCAAAACCATACCAGAAACATGGTAAAAATGTTTAAA